GGATGGTTAAGCGGATAAAATATATAAAAGCAAGTCCTACTTTTGTGGATTAACGGATACGGAGTATGCAACAATCAGGCTGATGGAGTGTTTCGTGGGGAAATAGGATAATGTACTGATGTGGAAGCACATGGCCCCATTTCGCTGAAGGGAATTCAATTTTTAAAATACTGTATGCATCTGCTTGTGTGTTATATATGTAAAGAGAGGAAACGAAGAACGGAAAAATAATATAGAGTAAGAATTTTTTTTTTCATTTTTAGTGGTCTAATAGAGGCTGAGGGACGAAAGCGACTATAAAGCCCTCAAAATCAATCTAAAAAGTAAAATTGGTTGTATCTTATAATTCGCGCGCCTTCCACGGAAATTATTGGATTAATTCCAAACGGATGCAACTTGATGGCAGAAATATTGGCACTAAGTTGACATTAGCACACTAAAACCAATCGTCGACGGTTCCATTTCTTTTCTCCAACGAATTAGCGGTGTTAACTATTATATGATTGCGATTGCGATGCATCCAGCTGGCTGGAATAATGCAATGCAAAAATTGACAAAACAATTATGACAGGATCTAATCAGAATTACTCCCTCCGTCCCACGATAACTTCATTTTTGGATTTTTATGTCCAACGTTTAAATTAACCGTTCATCCCATATGAAAAATTTATGAAATTTATTTTGAAAACATAGTGACGCATAAAGTATTATTCATGTTTTATCATCTAATAACAATAAAAATATTAATCATATAAAACTTTTAAATAAGACAAAGAGTCAAGCGTTGTATCCAAAATCTGAAAAATGGAGTCTTCGTGGGACAGAGAGAGTAGTAATCTAAAGCACATTTGTTTAATACGCAACCTAGTTTAGTACTAGGTCGCACTATCTTCAGGTTGATCTACTAGTACATGGATGATCGATGCTAAAAAAACGACTTTGGTTAATCGTGTTTGTCAACACGAAGAATTGATGCACATATGTCCAATTAGATGGCCACAACGTCCAACTTAACGAGTCACTTTCGAGTATGAATTACTCCCTCCGTTTCAAAATGTTTGACACCGTTGACTTTTTAGCACATGTTTGACCGTTCGTCTTATTCAAAAAATTTTATGAAATATGTAAAATTATATGCCTACATAAAAATATATTTAACAATGAATCAAATGATAAGAAAAGAATTAATAATTACTTAAATTTTTTGAATAAGACGAATGGTCAAACATGTGCTAAAAAGTCAACGGCGTCAAACATTTCGAAACGGAGGGAGTAATCATTGCCCCATGCGGCTGAGCATGCACATTTGAGCATGTTGGTCAGCTCCTCGGCTCATGAATAATCCACGCTTATATTATATGATTTGTACGGACTGCTGGATACCTGCGTATAGTGTTCACAGTTTAGTGGACTGGGTTTTGCCGAGTTCATGTAATACATGAAAACTAGCTAGAAAGTATCAGGATGGTGAATATAATGCCTGCATTTGATGAAATCCGAATCTACTCGCGTCAAAAAAAAAATCCGAATCTACTCTAGCTAGCTAGGAGGTGACACACACACACACATATATATATATATATATACATACATACACTCCTTCAAAAAGAGGGTAGTAGGTTAATAAAAATGACTAATGATATGTTAATGATAATTTTCTTTAATTAAAATCTCATTACAACGCACAGACAATATGCTAGTCTTACAATTTACTGAAGGGAAGAGCTAGCCCTGTCAAAGTAAGCAGTGACGACCGAGTTAGATGAAACATGAAACCCTCCCGTTCAACCCATTTGAATAGTACCAGAGTTTGTTGGAGTTCAATTAACTTAATTACTTAAGTCATAATCACCTTCAGATAATGTAATGCAGAAATTTGATTTAACTGACTTCGTTGTGAATGGATGAATCACCTCACGAACCCCTTTCAACGTCGAGTCAACAACTTTCCGTACTTCATTCGGAAGAGAATATTTTGTAAAATCCTACTTTGCATAAGTTTAGACAAATCCTATAATATAAAGATATGGCTAAAAAATGCAGTACCCTCTAGGGTTTTTAGAAATTTTCACATCAATAAAAAAAAGAGAAAATGATGGGTTCAAACTTAATGATATAGACCGAAAGCTCAATTAATTTAACAGTTGTATACATCAAATTTAATTCTACTTTAACTGTTTAGCTCCGTATAAAATTATGCGGATAATCTCCTAGTGATTGTGTGTTAACAAAGCACGCTCACCATGGAACGTGTTGCGTATATATGTGTAGCGGTGTGCAGTGTACATATAATGTGGAAATAAAACCGCTAGGATTCTAGGAAGTTTGATCGAAATATCGTGCAGATTGTAACGCTTTACTTAATTAGTTACGTACGGCAGCTAGGTCGCCGTCGTCCACCGGAGCACGCCAAACCACGACGAAATACACACCAATGGATCGTACTAGAGCATGCCAAACTGCCCATTGCCAAGTCGGATTCAGATTAAGTGACATAGGGTAAACATGTCACGAGATGACATAGCGTAGATTTCGGTCCTCCAAAATAAATCCAATGGCTGAGATTCGTCCACGTCATTACGAGTTTTCGAATTTCTTTGACCACCGCCTCGGAGCCCTTCTTCAACAACTATATGTGACTTTCTTTTCCCCCGAGTTTCGAACCCCTCGAGTTGAACCATGTAGATCTCCTCCTCCTCGTTGTTGTTGCGGAGAAAGACCGTATTCACGTCTAGTTAAAATAGATGCAAGTCCCCTCGGCCGCTACTATATCGAGAATCATTCGGATGGTTTTGAGCTTGACTGCTTTTACCTGAAACCATGCGGCACTCAATTGCCGCACACGCAACGCAGCGCAATTCACTCAGCCGACCCACCCTTGTGGGCAAACATGTTGTGCCGCGCGACGCGATAACGATATTTTTCGCCGGCCCGGCCGCCTCCACGGTGTGAGACGTGAAGGCGATACGGCCGTTACGGCCGTTCGCGCGTAAAAATGCCGACTGAGATGTGGCGGCTCCCGGCTCGGGACGGCGCATGCGCAGCATCGACCACCATCCGCGACGGCCCGCCGCCCCGCGAGAGCGAACAACCACGGGTTGCGCGGCCCACGCTATAAGGCTACGTACAAGGCCGCGTGCAGGGCTTGGGGTTGGGGGATGGAATTTTGGGCCTTTTGGTGGAATGAGGGGCCGATACGTTGCGTTGGGGAAGCCCATCCTATCTGAGAGAGTTGGAGTTTACACCCATTGGGTCTTAGGCCTGCCTATTAGATCAGCCCAAATACGCCCATTTCAACTCGTATTCGATAGCTAGAGAGACTTCCTTTCCCTTAAAAAAAAAAGTGAGTTCCTTTAAGATTTGAGCACTTTTTTTTAGAACAAAGATTTGAGCACTGAATCAATAATTAAGTAGTACTACTCCCTCAATGGCGGAGGTAGGTGTATTAGCTGGCCGGCTCGCTCCCAGCACGCAATGCAACTCTCCTCGACCACTGTCATGTCATCTCATCTAGGCCCTATTTGTAGGCCCTATTTGGTTCTATGGGCTAATGTTTAGCCCTAACATTTTAGCCTCAAATTAGCCCTCAAGGATCCAAACAGGTGGACTAATTTTGTATGGGGACCATCAAGGGATGCTAATGGGGTTAATTTTGCGTGGGGACCATCAAAATTTGATATCCTGAAGTGCCAGGAAGCAAGCTACTGTATCACGCTCTAGTACTGAAGCCGAATATAAAGCCTTGGCTAATGCAACTGCTGAGGTAATGTGGGTTCGTAAATTGCTAGAAGAGATTGGTTTGTTGCATCCAGGACCTTCTCAATTATGGTGTGATAATATTAAAGCTACCTATTTGTCAGCAAATCCTGTGTTTCATGCTAGAACAAAACACATAGAAGTGGATTACCATTTTGTCAGAGAACAGGTGGTGCAGAAAATGTTGGAATTTCGGTTTGTTCCGTCACAAGATCAAATTGCTGATGGATTTACAAAGCCTCTTCCTGTGAGACAATTACAATTGTTCTGTAACAATCTCAATCTTGGAGAGTTGAGATTGAGGGGGAGTGTTAGATGATAAGAATAGTTAGCTAGATAGATTGGTTCTTATCTTCAGTTTGTTGTAACTAACAGAGAGATAGGATAAGATCTCTCATCCTTTGTATGTACCACGCTAGGGGTTATTCCTAGCCTATATAACATGCAGGCGTACCTGGAGGAAGGGTATCGCTTCCATCACAGCTAATGGGGTTAATTTTGTGTGGGGACCATAAAAAAGCAGCTCTCTCTCTCTCCTCTCTTTCTACTCTCTCTCCACCTTTTAACCTTGAATTAGCACATGGATCCAAACATACCACCTTAGCCTAATGTTTAGCCTACCAATTCATGACTAAACATTAGCTCTCAAAATTAGCCCTGGGCTAATCTTCCAAACAGGGCCCTAGTACGCCGGATCGCCGACTAACGAACAGGTTGCCGTCCCTTGTTTAAATAAACAAACAAATATTTCTTCCCCGTTTTAAAATATAAGAAACCGAATGTGATTTACTATAATAAACAGGTTGCCGTTCCTTGTTTAAATAAATAAACTGTGATATTTTTTAATATTATAAATCTAAACCGATCAGACCTAAGATCGGATGGGATATTTTCTAGTAGTATACCGATTCTTAATAGTAGGAAATGGCTTATCCGTTTTCGGTTTAGTCCCTCCTTCCCAGTACCAAATGCGGCCTCTGCTGTGCATCGGTGCATGTGCCTTATCGAGTTCTTCGGAAACTTCTGTGTGTTGCGAGTTACTACTTGTTTCAAAATAGCACTATTTTAGAAAGAGAAAGTAAAGTCTAACACATTCACGGCTAAGCCGGCAAAATTCTCAATTCATGTTAAGGACCTCTCAATGATTGAGATAATTTGAAGAGGCATTTCATTTGGCTTCTACCTCTTATATGATTCAGGCAGCAATCCCCGAAAAGTAATATGATTCAGGCAGCACACAACGATTTAGACAATACGCATTCCAAATCATATTTATATATTTTCACGATGTAATCATGCATTACAAATAATCGTGCGAATAAACAAATAAGAGCAAATAGTTAGAGAAGCTGACAGCCTGCCTAACCACTATAGTAACCAAATACGAACACGAGCAGATAAGCAACAACTCGTCACGCGTCAACCGCCGCAGCCGCCGCCGCAGCCACCGCCCCCGCACCCGCCGCCGCCGCACCCGCCTCCGCCGGAGTCAACGGCCGAGGCGATGATGGCGCCGGTGGCGAGCCCCGCGGCGGCGCCGACGGCGAGCCCGGCTCCTGGGCCGAACCCGCTGCGGCCAGGCCTCCCGGCGTTCGCCGCCGGGTACGCGTACCCCGCGGGGGGCGGCTGCGCCGGGTAGCCGTACGCGCCGGCGGGAGGCGGCGGCGGGTACCCCTGGCCGTAGTAGTAGACGTCGTTCCTGTTCTTCCGCCGCTGCCTCTTGGCCCCGTCCGCGCAGCCGAACGCGGCGACGGCTGCCACGGCCACCGTTGCGGCGACGGCCAAGATCACCACCGCGGCCGGGCTGAGGGAGGCGGCGGCGCCTCTTCCAACGCCGGCGTGAAGGGCATGGAGAGCCACTCCCGCTCTCACCATGGCTTGCGCGCCCGATAAGAGAAGAGATGGAGCGAATGAATATGAATGCGTGTTTAAAAGAGAGATGAGGGTCCACGGATTTGGCATGATTGGCTCCTTTTGGTCAAAGTCTACCATATTTGATTATTGAGGAGTACTACTACTGTATTTTTTTTTAGGAGAGTAGTATACTATAACTAATATCCTCAGATATGTACGCGAATATTTAGTATTCAAATAAGTAAAACGACTCGTACAACTTGAGAACATCGTGCCCTCCAGCATCTCTCAACGTCAGGAAATTTCTGAGCCTGACTGGATGTGGATGAATGTCTCTCCCATGCAATTGCAGCTAAGCCCAAGCGGTTGATAATTACTACCTCCTATAGATGACGCCGTTAACTTTTTCTCACATGTTTGACCATTCGTCTTATTCAAAAATTTTATATAAATGTATAAGATATAAATGACACTTAAAGTACTATGAGTGATAAAACAACTCATAACAAAATAAATTACAATTACGTAAAGTTTTTAAATAAGACGAATGGTTAAACATGTGAGAAAAGGTCAATGTCATCATTTATTAAAAAACGGAGGGAGTATATATAAGGAACGCGTTAGGGAGGGAGCTCAGGAGGATATGCGAATAGATAACAAAAGTCAATAGCTTCAAGCAGTTGTTGGGATGGAGTCATGGAGATTAATTTTCTCGGACCACTTCCAGTTGCTCATAGCTAGGTTCGTTCGTTGACTTTGTGAAATTTTTACCTTCTTCCTGTGCACTCTGAGAGGCAGGGTTTAACTTTCCAATTTCAAAGTAAAAACTGCTCCTCGGTTTTGCCAAAATCCGATCGAAAATCGGTAAAAACCGATGACTTTCAATTAACACCATACGAAAACTGACTAATACCAATCCTTTTCACAAAAGTCGACCGGTTTTCGCGAAATTCCAGCGGTATTGCGAATCCTGCTAGTGAGAGGCAATGGAGCCGCCATTGCAGACGAAGATGGAGCAGGCAAGCAAGATACGAGGGAAAACAAAAAGATTATTCTCTCCATACTTTTCGAGCACCAAATTCCACCCTACTTACTCCCAATTCTGCACACATCAACCATGTTACTCTCCATGCTTTGGCATAATATGCTCCCGGCCGGTCATCTTTCCATGTTGCATCGACGTCATACTCACTCGAACGATGTCGACACTGGCTCTTGGAGAAAGGAACGACATATCACATATGTCTATGATATTCTATCCCTTCATCAAACCAACAGGTATACAAGATTATCACTAGCTAGCACTGCACCATGGCTAGAGCCCAATTTCGCTCTCAGCTAGCTTGGATTGTCTGATGGCGACGGAAGATATTTTTTTGCCATGCTCAAGAGATCTAGTCGGCCGATGATCAAAACGATGAAAGCCACCAAGGCACAAAACTCGATCATCATGGCTGTCAAAATATGCCTGACGCACTCGCTGGCATATGCATCTCATCCAGGATTAGATAGTTGTTTCAGATATGATTGCACAATATCCTTTAAATCCAGTCGATATGTTATAGCGATTCTGAATGACCTCTACCGTACTTGTTGTGCATGCACTGAAAGAACTGAAACTAAAATATGCAAGCATGAAAAAATCGCAATCATGAAAGGATCAAGCATCAAGTCACACAAATCTGAAACTGAAACTAATTTCGAAGCGAGAGAGATTGAGGGAGAGAAAAGAGAAGCTGGAGAAGCCATAATACCACTTGCAGGTGGGTCTCAAAAGGGTTTTTATTTTTATTTTTGTATATAGGGCCACATAGATGCCATGTCAGCATTAATTGACCCCATTAACTCGCCACGTGAGATAAAACCGTTATTCAAACTGCTCAGGAACTGGTTTTGATGGTTAGAGGATGCTCTGTAGGGATGCAAATGAACCTCCACCTATAGTTGAAGGAAGTGAAGTGGACTTTTCCCATTCGAAATCAGTGTTGGGCCAGTTATTGGGTTTTAAAGCAGGCCTTAGAAATTGTTTCGGACGAAAAAAGGCTACCCGATTCGGTCAACCTTAAAAAACTGCAACTCCGGTTCTCTATGGCATATGCTTTCCAAAGATCGACAAAGCCCATCACAATTCGCACGAGAAACATAAGAAGTCAGCTGAAAAGCATCAGTTGAGTTGGACCAGTCCAGCAGAGATAATATAGTATAACGAATCTGAATAATAGTAGTTTTTTCCTACTAATATATTGACGTGCAATCCTTTTACGCGTTCGAAAAAAAAAGAATAATAGTAGTTTATGTTTTATCCTAATTCTAGATTGTATTTTTTTTTGGGAACGGATGGTGTAAACCTGAAGATTCAACGGATTCACAGAGGATGTTCCAATCACAGCTTTTTAGTCTCGACGTTCGAGCAGACGCCGCCTGAAGCATCCGTAGGCGATTTGGTGATTGGCGAGAGCTCCGACTTTCGCCAAAGATTCAGCGTTTGTTATTGTTAGTCAAGAACGGCTGCGCGGTGCGCGCGTACGTGTGCTTTTCCTGATCCACTAATTCTCAGGCCATAGCTGCAGACAGTCAGACATCCTCTGATCCTCTCCATCCAGAGAGGCAAAACGGGGCCTCTTATCATTTTGGATCCTCCATGAGATGAGCTCAATGATTTAGCTGCGAAAAACAGCTCGTCGACATGCAGTAAGAATGAAGAACATCAAGCTCAAGGAAGTTATCTAGATTCTACTAGACAAGTAAGCCTTTTTTTTTTCTCTGTGCCCAGTTGATCTCTTCTTCATTTGGTTTTCATAGTTCAGTTGTGTTGTGATCTTCTTCTGTGTTCCTCAGCTGCAAACCAAGTTCTACTGGTTGTTCTTCTCCTTTTCAGTGGAATCAGACCAAGCCTTTTACGTGTTCTTGAAAAACATCGTTCTGAGTCTTGTAGACACCATAAACAAACACAGTTGACATGTGTTCCTGTCATGCAGGCCACAAGTGATTCTTTTGAGTTCTGAGATGATTTTGTTCATGCATGAAGTCCTTTCTGAAGTTTATTATGGTGAACTAAATATATTTTCTGTAATCCTTAAATTTAAGCACGTGGTGTAGTTCCATCTGTTGGCACATTTGTAAACTTAATTCGTATTTTTTTTTGTCTTCACGCCGGCCGCCGGGCGGCTAAATCCGTACAAAGAATAATCGCCCACACTCACCCACACACACACCCAAAAGAAAAAAAAAAGGCTCCAAAACAAAGCAGAGTTGTTAGTTGTTCCTTTCTTTTCTATGAGGAAATCAAAAGCAAACTAACTGTGCTCAGCTCAGATTAATTCTGAATTAATCAAACTAATGGTGGAACTGGTGAAATGTGAATAGTACAAACTATCAATGTTACCTTACAATCAAGATATATTACTGCTAATTAAAATGTGCAATGATATCTCTGATTTTTATGCTTGTCTGATCTATGCAATGACGTACTAGTACGCAAACTCCAGAGTAAAGACAAGCTCAATTAGAGAACGAATGTGAGCATGTCTACTGCTGTTGCCATAAGTAAGTACCAAGATTAATTAGTACTATCACCATGGCAAAATAAAAGACCAAGATTTTGCTTATCTAACTGTTCGTCTCACCTCACTGGTTTCTTCAGTATCGTCAGTCTCGGCAACCGCGGCTGCAGTAGTGATGCTCGCTCTGATCAAGCGATGCCGCCGCTACAGGAGGAAGATGAAGAAGAAGATGCTAGCTAGGATCGCCCACGAGGCGACCGAACAGCACCGCGAGATGGAAGCCCGCGACGCGGCGGACAGCGTGATGATCGAGATCGGCCCCGTGGAGAAGTTCCTCAACGAGATCCTCAGCGAGAAGCCGATGCGCTTCACCTCCGAGCAGCTGGCGGCGTGCACCGGGAACTACTCGTCGGAGCTCGGCTCCGGCGGGTTCGGCGTGGTCTACAGGGGGGAGCTGCCCAAAGGCCTGCAGGTCGCCGTGAAGGTGCTCAAGGTGTCCATGAACAAGAAGGTCCAGGAGGCGTTCATGGCGGAGATCGGCACCATCGGGAGGACGTACCACGTCCACCTCGTCAGGCTCTACGGCTTCTGCTTCGACGCCGACACCAAGGCGCTGGTCTACGAGTTCTTGGAGAACGGCTCGCTGGAGAAGTACCTCTACGGCGGCGGCGGCGAGGACAGGGGGAAGAAGCTGGAGTGGCGGACGCTGCACGACATCGCCGTCGGCACGGCGAAGGGGATCAGGTACCTCCACGAGGAGTGCCAGCAGCGGATCGTGCACTACGACATCAAGCCGGCGAATATCCTCCTCACCGCCGACTTCACCCCGAAGGTTGCCGACTTCGGGCTGGCGAGGCTGGGCGAGCGGGAGAACACGCACATGTCGCTGACGGGCGGGCGCGGCACGCCCGGGTACGCGGCGCCGGAGCTGTGGATGGCGCTACCGGCGACGGAGAAGTGCGACGTGTACAGCTTCGGGATGGTGCTGTTCGAGGTGCTGGGGCGGCGGCGGAACTACGACCTCGCCGCGCAGGCGGAGAGCCAGGAGTGGTTCCCCAAGTGGGTGTGGGACAGGTACGAGCAGGGGGACATGGAGTGCGTCGTGTCCGCCGCCGGCATCGGGGAAGAGGACAGGGCGAAGGCGGAGATGATGTGCAAGGTGGCGCTGTGGTGCGTGCAGTTCCAGCCGTCGGCGCGGCCGAAGATGAGCAGCGTGGTGCGGATGCTGGAGGGGGAGATGGCCATCGTCCCGCCGGTGAACCCCTTCCACTACGTCATGAGCGGCGGCAGCGGCAGCTCGACGCTGACGAGCAGCAGCACGAACCTGAGCAGCGGGGGCACCACTACAGGAAGCAGCGAGGTGGCGGTCAGCCTTCCTGCCAAAAAGTCCACGGACGTCATGGTTGAATAGTCTAAGTCCAAGTGAAAATGTTGACCCTTCTCCCTTTGTACAACGGTACCAGCGAGACAAAGATTTCGTACATATTTTATCGTCATAATGTTGTTGCAATTATATTTGTTAATAATGTAATTATTTTTTACCTCTGTTTATGAGTTTACTAGTACCGGATTTTGAATCACTTTCTAAAAAAGAATAAAAGAAATGTGTGAATTTTCGTAGGAAAAAGTCTTTGCCTCCCTCAAGGTAATAATTCTTTCCCTCTCTATATATTTATCGATAAATTTTCTCCAAAATATTTATCAGATATAAGTATAGTAAATTATGATTAATTACATTATAACTTGTATGTAATTACAATGTACACGGTAAGTTGTGTGTTAAAATCCCTCGTTACCATGCTATATTTTTGTAAAATAGAGATTGTGGGACCAAATCCCCTCATGTGCGCACACTATGATTTTTGTCTTCCTCGCTTGCATAAGACTTAAAACAGATCTAACAGTTTAAAAATATATGAAAGTTACACATAAGATATACTGTATTTACATGTAAGTTAGTACAATATAATTACACTATGATCACACTGTATTTACATATGTTAAATTTCAGAGAGAAAAATTGTCAACAAATATATAGCAAAATCGATCCTCCTCTACCTCTGATCCTCCCAATGACAGTCAGGGCCCACATGTCTAACCCATCTTCCTCGCTACAGAGTACAGACTGCAGAGTCGAATTGAGTCACACCGAAACGTTTAAAACCAAAATTAGCGGAACAAATACGGCACTATAACAGTCTAACACACTAAAATGTTGTAGACATGCACTTATACACATCAGTAGGTGTACGTCTTTGAACACAACAGCCTTGCTGACAACTCACACCCGTGCTGTGCAAACGTGGAAGAATCAGAAAACGGGAATTCGTTTCCGACACGTCTACCTGCCGGTACGAGCCGACGAACCATCCGATTCCGTGGTGGCGGTAGTGGTGGTCGGCGACGAGCCGGCGGCGCTGTACGGCGCGAGGTGGGCGAACGGGTTGCGCGGCGCGGCGATGTGGTCCTCCCCTTCCAGCATCCGCACGACGTTGCCCATGGACGGCCTGTCCTCCGGCCTGTACTGCACGCACCACAGTGCCACCATGCACACCCTCTCCGCCTTCTCCCTCTCCCTCCCGCCGCCCGCCGCCGCCGCCGTCGCGCGCGCCAGCACGGCCTCCGTCTCGCCGGCCTCGAACCGGTGCCACACCCACCGCGGGTACCACTCCTGGCTGCCGTGCCCGTGCGCGCCGGCCCCGGCGCCGAGCTCCAGGTTCCGCCGCCTCCCGAGCATCTCGAACAGCAGCATCCCGTAGCTGTACACGTCGCACTTGTGCGTCACGGGGAGCGGCATCCACAGCTCCGGCGCCGCGTACCCCGGGGTGCCGCGCGCGCCGGTGATGGTCAGGTGGGTGTCCTCCCTGTCGCACAGCTTGGCGAGCCCGAAGTCGGACACCTTGGGCGCCATCCCGGCGCCGAGGAGCACGTTCTCCGGCTTGATGTCGTAGTGGATGATCCGCTGCGCGCACTCCTCGTGCAGGTACCGCACCGCCTTCGCCGTCCCGACGGCGATCTCGTGGAGCTTCTCGAACCCGATCCTCTCCGCCGCCGGCGACGGCGACGAGTCGAACAGGTAGCGGTCCAGCGAGCCCTTCTCCATGTACTCGTACACGAGCGCCTTCACGTCGGCGTCGAAGCAGAAGCCGTAGAGGCGGACGAGGTTGATGTGGTACGTCCTCCCGATGGTGCCGACCTCCGCCATGAACTGCTCCTCGGCGCGCTTCCCGAGCGTGCTGTTCAGCACCTTGACGGCCACCGGCGCGCCGCTCGGGAACACGCCGCGGTACACCACGCCGAACCCGCCGGAGCCGACCTTGTGGGCGTAGCTCTTGGTGAAGGCGCGCAGCTGCCGCGCGCTGAACCGCACGGGCCGCTCGTTCTGGAGGCCCTCGATGAAGTGGCTCATGCTGCCCATCTCGACGACGTCCGCGTCCGCGCCGCCGATTCCGCCCCGGCTGCTGCTGCTGCCGCCGCCGTTGGCGATGGGCGTGTGATGGTCACGACTGCTACTATACCACATTTTGATGGCGATCTTGGCGCACTTGTAAATCGCAACTATGGTCACGACTGCTACTATACCAGTCGTGATCACCCCAACTGCGATATGTTAATCAAAATTTTGTTACTACAAGCGACATAGATGTAGATAATAGGCGATGCATATGAGTACATCGATCATACTTACTGAGTGCTAAAGCAAGACTTCCATTGGCGATGGCCATGCTGATGAACTACCAGGAGGGGTTAGCTACAGTGTGCAAGGAGTGTTGGCTACTTGGCTTATGAAGTGTCTTCCTGCCTTGTGAGTTGTGAGGATATTTTTATTGGTTCATTTTGTTTGCAGCTAGCTGATTTGACTGTTTCTGTGTGCCACTGTCAACTGTGCTAGTGTGAGAGAAAACAATGTTTCTGCACTCTTCATGCTTACGCGATGAACACAAAGATTTGATAAATTCAATAAACTAAAATTAGAAGAAGGAATACTATGTATCCTGTTTGATTGGTGTTGACTAAACTAGTTCCCCTTCCTTTCTCACCAAGTAAACTATTTTAATGATTTTTTAAAAGAACCGTATAAATACCATGAGGCTTCATTTTTTTTAAACACAGTACAAACGCAGACACTTATAGAAAAAATTACAAAGTTGTAACCCTAGGAGTAGGAGCAGAGCCGGTTCTATGCAAGAAAAAATAGTGAGACCATACAGTATTACCATGTACATATAGTCGTGATCACACCAACTGCGAGATGTTAATCAAAATTTTGTTACTATGAGCGATATAGATGTAGATAATAGGCGATGCATATGAGTACATCGATCATACTTACTGATTGCTAAAGCAAGACTTCCATTGGTGAGGGCCATGCTGATGAACTACTAGGAGTGGTTAACTGCAGTGTGCAAGGAGTGTTGGCTTATTAAGGCTTCTGGGGAGATAGGGGAGATTGAGTCTCGTTTTCCGTGCGCATGTTTTTCAAACTACTAAACGATGTATTTTTTGCAAAAAATTTATATAAGAAAGTTATTTTAAAAAATCATATTAATCCATTTTTGAAATTTAAAATAGTTAATACTCAATTAATCATGAGCTAATGGCTCACCCCGTTTTGCGTGCCTTCCTACCTTGTGAGTTGTGAGGATATTTTTATTGGTCATTTTGTTTGCAGCTAGCTGATTTGACTGTTTCTGTGTGCCAGTGTCAACTGTGCGAGTGTGAGAGAAAACAATGTTTCTGCACTCTTCACGCTTACGCGATGAACACAAAAGAATTTGATAAAGTCAATAAACTAAAATTAGAAGGGGAATACTATGTATCTTGTTTGATTGGTGTTGACTAAACTACAGCTTCCCCCTACAACTGATTATGCTTCCATTTTCCCCTTCCTTTCTCACCAAGTAAACTATTTTAATGATTTTTAAACAATGGTTTGTTAAAACCATACCACCCTATATTTACAAAATTTGAGATATGCCATCCATATCTTAATTACATGTAGGACCTACATGAGTCAATGACATGTGGGTCAGGGTGACATATCATAAATTTTGCAAAATTTGTATGGCATGGTTTAAATTGTCCCTTTAAACAAACTGTATAAGATGTCATGAGGTTTCATTTTTTTAACATGGTACAAACGTAGACGTTCATAGAAAATAACCACAAAATTGTAACCCTAGGAGCAGGGCCAGTCCTAAATTTTTGGAGGCCCAATGTGAAAAAATATAGAAGCCCTACAATATTAGTGTGTGTGTATATAGATGTACGAGGACAAAATTAACTTTATTTTATTATATGGAAGTCCCGTGAGTTCACATACGCTCGAAGTGACCGAGATCAACAGAACATTCATACACCCCAACTGCGAGATGTTAATCAAAATTACAAAAAAAAATTAAAGAGTTAATACAACTGTGAGCACCATAGATAAGCTAATTATCGATGAACATATAAGTTGTACTCCCTCCTTTTTTTAATAGATGACGCCGTTAACTTTTTCTCACATGTTTGACTATTCGTCTTATTCAAAAAATTTACGTAATTATAATTTATTTTGTTATGAGTTGTTTTATCACTCATAGTACTTTAAGTGTGATTTATATCTTATACATTTGCATAAAATTTTTGAATAAGATGAATGGTCAAACATGTGAGAAAAAGTCAACGGCATTATCTATTAAAAAACGGAGGTAGTATGGATTATACTTACTGATCGCTAAAACAAGAATTCCTGGTGACCTGGTCTGACCGCCATATTGATCAGTTAGGACTGGATAGCTTCAGTGCAAAGAGGGATGGATTATTGGCTTGCTGTGCCTGTGACGTTTTTTTAGTTCATTTAATCTGCTTTCATGCTTGTCATTTTTGGACATTTATTTATCACGTTTGTCAACTTTTACATATATAGTTCTTCCAAGTGTGCAACGAATGGTTCATTCGGAGAGAAAACAAATAGTTTCTGCACCCTTCACACTCGGACGATAAATAAGGGGCTGCTTGGTTGGCGGCTTGGAATGCCACGCCACGGCGTGGCTCGCCACAGGAGTGTGGCGGACGTTTCGTCCGCCTCAGAAAACACTGTAGCGTGGCGAAAATACTGTAGCTATGGCATTCAATGGCTGGGATCCAAACACACCCTTAAGAATATGAGCAAGTCAATGGAACTGAAACTTAAGAGAGGAACTTAGCTTGGTACGATGATAGCGTCCGCTGCGATGCATGGAACAGCGTGTATTGGTTCTAAAAAAAAAAAAGAACAGCGTGTATTTGTATGTCGACTTCCATTTTCCTCTTCTTCCCTCTCAGAATAAACAGTTTTATTGCTTCTTACATCACCGGCAATGGCGTTGATCAACTGAAAAGTTTACCATGTCAATCAGAATTCGCCCTCCTTGTGAATTGAAAATTTTCAACTTGTGTCACAAGTGGTTCTGTTACATGAACAGACAGATACCGTCATACCAAGTTACCAACTCGTATAGTGACATTTTGATGGGCCGCATTCAAAGCCTCAACCTTTTGTGGGGCCAAGAGCCCATTAATATGCTAGCAATTTCTCTAGGAAACATGTTTATTTACAGTACCTGTAGTACAAGATGACACGTTGAGTACTCCCTCCGTTTTAAAATGTTTGACACCGTTGACTTTTTATTACGTGTTTGACCATTCGTCTTATTCAAAAAATTTAAGTAATTATTTATTCTTTTCATATCATTTGATTCATTGTTAAATATACTTTCATGTACACATATAGTCTTACATATTTCACAAATTATTTTGAATAAGACGAACGGTCAAACATGTGCTGAAAAGTCAACGGTGTCAAACATTTTGAAACGGAGTAATATTTGAGTGTCTGCACTCCATTAACGTTCCCGTTCAAACATGACATCATACATGCACTTGCTGTCATAAACTTGATAGACTCAGCCGCTTCCTTTGGATTGACTGATAAAATTTTCAACTCCTATTACTTGCTGATCCTGCTGGTGTTCTGTAAAATAATATTGCACTGCGTGTTCTGCGTACACACGTACTCTAAAGTTTGAACGACGTGTAACGGCATATGCATATGTTAATGATCCTAAGCAGTACGCGTAAGCATTTTTTACTTGGTAGTTTAGAGTATGTGCCAAGTTTCTGTAAATTCTCCCTGCGATACCGACCCTGATAATCACCTTTATCCGTACAGACGCAGGGACAGGTCAAACGAACTGCGAAATTGTTCCGTGAACTTAACTGATAATTCAAGTTTCAAGTTTCAAGCCAAGAAATGAAGTACACCTCTCTTGCTCTAGGTAAGCATCATTCATGTGATCGTCTCGTGTGCTTGACTTGGTTTTTTTTCTCGTTTTAATTTCGTTTAATTTCTAATGGAAATTTTGTGCACACATGTAGCTGGGATTATCATCGGTGGCATTGCCGCCATCCTGGTCTTGAAGTTCATCATGAGATGCGTGGAGGCCAAGCACGCCGAACGCGCGAGGCGGCGGGAGGAGGAGGCAGTGCCAGTGTCGCCGCCGGCGAGCGGCACGTACAGCAGCGTGGACGTCCGCGTCGAGATGGGGTCGGTGGACCGCTTCCTGGACGACATCCTCCGGGAGAAGCCGGCGCGGTTCACGCCGGAGAACCTCCGCGAGTTCACGGGGGACTACGCGGAGCGGCTCGGCGCCGGCGGCTTCGGCGTGGTGTACCGCGGCAGGTTCCCCGGCGGCGTGCAGGTGGCCGTCAAGATCCTGCACCGCACGCTGGACCGCCGCGCCGAGGAGCAGTTCATGGCGGAGGTCGCCACCGCGGGGCGCACCTACCACATCAACCTCGTCCGCCTCTACGGCTTCTGCTTCGACGCCACCACCAAGGCGCTCGTCTACGAGTACCTCGAGAACGGCTCGCTCGACCGCGTCCTGTTCGACGCCGCCGCGGCGGCCGCCCTCGAGTTCGACACGCTGCACGGCATCGTCGTCGGCACGGCGCGCGGGGTGAGGTACCTGCACGAGGAGTGCCAGCACCGGATCATCCACTACGACATCAAGCCGGGGAACGTGCTGCTCGCCGGCGACTACGCGCCCAAGGTGGCCGACTTCGGGCTCGCCAAGCTCTGCAGCCGCGACAACACCCACCTGACGATGACCGGCGCGCGGGGCACGCCGGGGTACGCGGCGCCGGAGCTGTGGCTGCCGCTGCCGGTGACGCACAAGTGCGACGTGTACAGCTTCGGCATGCTGGTGTTCGAGATCCTCGGGCGGCGGCGCAACCTCGACACCCAGCGCCCGGCGGAGAGCCAGGAGTGGTACCCCAGGTGGGCGTGGCAGAGGTTCGACCAGGGCCGGTTCGGCGAGGTCATGGCGGCGTCGGGGATCCGGAGCAAGGACGGCGAGAAGGCGGAGAGGATGTGCAAGGTGGCGCTCTGGTGCATACAGTACCAGCCGGAGGCGAGGCCGTCGATGAGCAGCGTCGTCAGGATGCTCGAAGGGGAGGAGCAGATCGCGCGGCCCGTCAACCCGTTCGCGTACATGGCGACCATGGACGCGATCTCCAGCTCCAGCTCCGGCGGCGGCGGCGTCAGCACCGCCACCTCCGCCTCCGCCTCCGGCGACTCGGCGCAATCGACTCGACATGACATCTGCCATTGACATATGCTTGGGACAAACGTGCATGTGTACCCATTTTCGTGTAGTACATTTGGATGAGCTGCTTGGAACTTTGAATAGTATGTAAACTGATAGGCCTCGGTTAGAATTTAATATGCTTGAAAAATTGCAGTTTAAGGAAATTTCATTCAAAAATTTAAAAATTTTAAATCGCACGTACATTTTACCATGGCGAGATCCCTCTGCTTTTGAACTCTCAAAATCAAACATCAGGTCAGCTGGTGGCCTGGTAATGTAACTCGATTATTATTGGGCCATTCGGCCCAGCATTAAAATGATGTGAAGAACAGCCCAGCCCAGCACACAGAATGCGTCTTCGTCGATGGGTGGCGTACCTAACATCGACGGCGGATAAAGCGTAATCGACGGCGTAAGGCGGCGGGAGGGGAACATTTTCCAGCCGCCACTCTCCCCCCGAGAGAAGACATTCCTTCACCCACCTACCCAAACACGCCGCCGGCCCTGACCCAATGCGTGCGGGCCCAGGCCTATCCACTGGATCAACGGGCCCACATTTCATCGGCTACCTCACGTTGTACATCTGGAATCTGGAGCTTATTACCAAAAAACCTCGTGTACCCAACACGTCAGAATTGTGACCCATACGAGTCACAGACAACTGGGCCCCAATGCCTATCCGGACCCACCGCACAGATACAGTTAAATCATCTTCTGTTGATGAAAGATTAGCAGCGGAAAGTCGCATCGAAACTGAGGCGGCGATTGGATTGTATGTGTCACTGCAGGTGGGCCCGTGCACGCGAAGTACAAGGGGGTGTCCCGCTTGTCATAGGATGCTGCACACGCACGCTCCCGCATAAAGCGGTGGACTTAGCAGTTACAGTAGTTATTCCCCCTTCCCAAAAATCGCCTCAGATTTTCTGGTTCGAAATCCTCTACCCCCTCCCATGGCGTCCCTCTTCAGGGCTCGCCGCCGGCGATCGCCGGAGGACGACGGCGAGGGGGAGGACGGATCCGCGTCCGGGCGGGTCACCCGCCGCCGCCTGTCGCCGGAGGAGGGCGCGCTGTCGCTGGCCGAGGCGTCGGCGTCGGTGGCCGCGGCGGGGGCGGGGGCGGAGAGTAGCCCCGGGTGGCTCTCCAGCATCGTGTCCGGAGCGAGGAGGGTGATCTCCTCGGTGTTGTTCTCCTCTCCCGAGGAGGCCGCCTCAGGGGAGGAGGAGGAGGACGACGACGAGGAAGGTACTCCTTGAGCGCCGTGGAGTAGCCACGCTGTTCCTCATTTCAGATTTCTGTTTGTCACTCTCTCCTTGCTTGCTTCACTGAACTGTTTCGTCTACTTGACCGCCCGAGTTGTGCCGCTGCGGTTACTTGCGCTGTTGGGTGCTAATTACGTCTTCGCTGCAAAGCTAGGGTTTCGGCTTGCTTGCTCTAATTAGAGTAGAAGTAGTGGAATTTTGATAATTCGGGGTCAGTAGCAGAGAGAGAGTGTGCGCTGACGGTTTTTTCCCTTAGTAGACTGTGGTTGGGTAAGAATTTTGCGGTTTTGCCACATTAGGTGGAATTGGGGATAAGCTTGGTTTGACTCCAATTACACAGTCCTAGTGTTGTGGAATTAGAATTTGAAGTTTACAATGTGGAGTGCTCCGGCTGCTGTATTCATCAATCGATGCTTCAGCAGCATCACACTTCCATTTGGTATGCTTGCGAAGATACCATCATTGATTCATCAACACAAAATTAAAGGCATGTATTTGGTTAGCTGCCACCATCCTAAGGTTTATAATGTCCTGAAAATTATGATACGAGGTGCAGAGGGCTTAATTTAGATCTGGCATGGTTGTTTTCAGAATCAACCTCATTTGGGAACCACAGTTACTTGCATGAACATCGAGTTAGGATGACATGGTGCATATTATTGGAATTCAGAAAATAATTGAGCCATCTTTTGTCACATATGCTAGATATTTCCAGAATGTAGAATAGTTGAGCTATTTGTTATTGACCTGTTAGTTCTATTGTGGTTTGAGAAGGTGCTCGATCTTTAGCTTTGTAATGGTGGACAGCACTTTTAATTGACCTTAGACCATTTTAGAGGGATGCACTGCAGACTAATCAGTGTTTTGTACTTTTGCATATGAAGGAACAGTGTTTCCAATTCTGTTGAGCCATTTTACCTTTCGTAAACTGTTCGCTCACACAACTACATTGTGCTGCCCACATTCAGATGAACTATTTTTGGGATGGTTTATGAGTGCGTTCATTTGTAATACCTGTGCAGATGAAACAGAAGACAATCATGGAGCAATAGTTTCATACAATGAGTCAAAGCTTGCCATTGAGGAAATGGTTATGAAGGAGACATTCTCAAGGTAACTGTAATGCTATTGTTCTTTACATGTGTGCTTAGATGTATATTTTTTTCCCTGGACAACTGCTAACGATTAAATTTAACAGTAAAGAAATCTAGTTTATTTCTCATTTACAAAACAGTTCTGATAATACAAGCATAGGTGCATATGGCCTAAGTTGGAGCTACTCTTCTTTTGATTTTTTGTACTATGAATTCTATAGGGTACTATGAATTAAAAGGGTAAAACTATTCAAATTTGAGTTGGAGAAGGAATCAAAGTCATGATATTATTGCAACTGGATAAGATAGACACTCTGTAGCAGTAGGATGAGGAAAATTGCACTTCAAAGTACTAAGCATGCAATTCTGCCTGTGGTGTGTGCTGCCGAGATACTGAGAATTTTATGTTGAATAGATCCATACATATTCTACGTTTTCTTAAACAGAGTAAATTTCACAGAACTGCAATTATTTTGTCAGAACTATCACTTTGCTACAACTTTAACTGCTATATCACAAAACCGCAATCATACCAAACAACTTTATCACAAAGCAGCAACACCCTTATGTGTGTATGACATGTGGGCCTGACTTACCAGCATGAATATTGCATGGGTGTGACAGGTGGGCCAAAAACTTGTCGGACAAATAAAGTTGCAGCTTTCTGATAAAATCCTTTATTATAGTTGCAGTTCTCTGAAATGCCTAGCTAAAGGTGCACATGGTTGCATGAGTATTGCATGTTACAGTAAACTGATAATTTTGGCAAAATAGTTGTAGTTATCTGAAATTTACTCTAAATAAAATCCTTATAACCTATTACTTTCCTTCTCAATTATTCATGTTTATTTTTATAGGGATGAATGTGATAAAATGGTAAAGCTCATACAGTCACGAGTTACAGATGCTGCACTTCCTGAAGCACCTGAGTATGGAACGCCGAAAGAAATTCCAACCAGGAATACTGTTGTTGGAAATGATTTCACGGGAGCTTGGCGTTCCTTGAGTCGCCACAGAAATGGCACTGAACCAGTTCCATTCTCTAGTATTGGATCTGGTAGCTTTTCTCCTGGTTCTCCTCTCCATGCATCGCCCGAGCTATTAAGCGCAGCAGTTATGGAAGCAAAGAAATGGTTAGAAGAGAAAAGGCAGGGATTAGGTTCAAAGCCTGAAGACCATGGACCTTGCACATTAAACACTGATATGCTTAACTCTGTTAGTATTAATGTGTTTTCATTCTCATCTTTATAGCCATCAATCTTTATGTGCTTGTCACAGCAATATTTGGTTCCTTTGTTGACTTACCTTTATGAGTTTTCATTTTTGCAGGGGTTTGAATCTGACATGGGTTCTCCAGTTGATTTAGCAAAATCATACATGCAGTCATTGCCTCCTTGGCAATCTCCATTCTTAGGTAGCCAGAAGTTTAAAACACCACCCTCTGCTGGGTTACATATGTATGATTATGAAGGGAAGTCCAAATATTCTCTCCCCTCATCAAAGGTAATGCAAAGGTTAAAAAGCATTGGCAATTTAATTCTAGGTCCTTGATGTAAATGTGGGATGCATGATTGTCTTTGATTATTATATGTTGATTGATGCTTAGTTTCAGATAATGTCATTTGGTTCGGAGCTTGATGAACTTCAGTTTTTTTTGGATATACTGTATCCCTTTTAGGTTTTTAGGAAATACTGTAAATATTGCTACATTGGCTGTCTTGATTCATATTCTGGAGTCTTGAGCTACTGTAGAATACGAGGTATTGAGAAAATGCTACTGGTCATGTATCATATATACTGCAGATATTTATAAAATTTCGGAACGGAATAAAATTAACTGAAAGTTAATGAATTTTTGGGGTGGCATGCCGCAGGCTTTTCTTTTATTAGTTAGTACCTACATGGTTATGTCAACTAAAATTGCATTTTCACTTCATAATTATATGCTTTACCTTTTGAAGGTCACCACCAAGGAAGAATATCTTTCCAATTTTTGGGAAAATTTGGAGGAATCTCGTAGGTCTCGCCTGGGATCATCTGGAAGTTCTCCAGATGCTTCTAAAGTCAGGCAGTATGGTTCTACTTCCAGATTGTTTGAGAATGATACATCTATATTCTCATCGGGTACTGATAAGAAAGTTGACAAACCTGAGCAAAATAATAAAGGTGAGACTAATTTACTCACCTGAACTTTCCTTGACATGAATATTATGGATCATTTCTCATTCTTAGAAATTTTTGGCTTTGAAAAAATAATTTATTTCATATATTTTAGGTTCTGATAAGGTTGCAGGAGCAGAACCGGCTAATGGGCACTCCTCACCTATCACTGATAAAAATCATGTGAGTCATGGTAGTTTTTGTATTTATACATTTGACTAAGTTTGATATTGCTTATTGCTTCTGTTGTATGTTTTGCGAAAATTACTTTGACTTTCACCAGTTTGTGATATAAAATTGTTTGGCTGCCCTTCACGATGATGGGTCATTTACTCACCTGAACTTTGTAGAACTTCAAATATCTATGGAAGTAATTTAGATATATTGGAAAGAATGCTGCTATACGTACAAAAGGTTCTTACGAAACTCACAAACATAGTTCTCAACCGTTTGATTTAGCTAGATGGAAGTAATAGGAAAACTAGATATACTCATAGCATGCCATGTCAGCGTTTGTAAGAGTTTGGTAAAGAAAAAAAAAAGTATGTATAGCATTATCTTATTGGACATTCTTATCTGTTTGTAAATATGAGTTCAAAATATTGCTCTATAGTATGTTTTAAATATCACAAGTATCATTTCTTTATTTACCGGTGCAATTTTTCATCAATCTTAAGGTGTTTGTTGATCCTGTGGACCCTGCAAATGACATAGGGAATGTTGTCAAAGAATGCAATGCTGCATCCAAAGTTCATATAGGTAGACTCTCCTTTTCCTTCACTATTTGTTTGTGTTCTTTGATGATAAAAAATATTGTCAGCTATTTGACTTGTATAATTTTTGTATATGACTTAAATCAAAATTTACGCATATCCTGGACTAATTTACATGGGTTGTTGTTTATGGTGCAGAGGAGATATCACAGGGGAACCAAATATCTTCCACAAGGTCAGCTTTTGCATTGAAAATGACTAACATTTGCTGCACTTGCAACATCTAGTTGTAAGCTTTGTGATTACATCACCAGCACAAATTGCTCTCAATATGTGCTGCGTTTCATTCTTAACCCTTATGTAGCCTGAACTTTTTTTTTTTTTTGAAATTGAACTTGTTTTTTTTGGGTCCTATGGAGATATTTTCTGTATGTTCATTTTGTCATTGAACACATGTTTCTTCAAATAGCCGGTTCCTCAAAGAAGATATTTGCTGTCTTGTCTCAGTGTTACAAAGGATGCTGACCGTGATGGGGATGTTAAAGCTCCTGTTGCAGAACCGGAAATTCACATGGAGTCAGATATAAACTCAGCGTCAGGTTTGTGTGGTGTCCCTTTTCTGACATTAATTTTGCCATGGTTTGTGTGTTATTTCACTCGTGTGCCTATGCATTTTATTCTTTTTGTTGAATCAGCTTGATTTTTCTTAACTCTGAACTTCCAATAAAATCTCTGTTGTTGCATGATCTGATGTAGTTGGAGAAGTTCCTTTTACTCTTGTTACTCCTTTGTTGTTTGAATCATGTTCGTCTGCTCCACTGCAATAATTTTGTAACTTATAGAGACCAAGCTGATATTGTGTAATTTGTTTTATGCCCTGAAAATGATCACAACCCATGATTTTATTAGGTTTTGGAACTCCAAGGTGTTGGATACTAATGGCAACTGTATTTCCTAGTCAGTCACTACATTTTATAAACCACATGTTGTGGGTATAATTTCAGATTTTATTAACTTTTGCGGCAGCAAGGAGCTGCCGATGTAGCGTCCTGGTTTGTAACCTGTAGCTGTCATTTGCCAGTGTGTTCCTGTGTGGTCCAGTTGCATGGGATCATGTTGGTTGGCTTTCGTTGCAACATGTAGCTTATAACTCTTTTCCCAAGCTTAATAAAATTCGTCCGGCATACGCTGGCCCGACGAGATGCAATTAAATTTTGGTCAATCTATCAAGTAGGCGACATATGACTACTGCTCCTACCTAAGGTCGGAAGCTAACAGCTTCCTTTTTAAGGAATAAGGAAGACAAATATTGTAGCTAACTAGTAAACAACGGTTTGGGAAGGACTGGATTTTGCCTAATTAGAGAGAAATCCTACCTAATCAAACAGGCTTGTCTGCAATTATGGTTGATTTGCATAAAAGAAAAGCAGAAAAAAGTGCTATTTGTGGTTAGTACTTCGTCAATTTCGATTGCACAAATGGTTTTGTTCTTCAAGATTTCCATCTGAGTTAAACTGTGGCATAGGTTAGAAAAACAAAATTGCCTGAATAGGTCCAGCAACCGGCCCAAATGACTTACAAGAGCACAGCTATGCTTTTTCTGAAGCTTTGGATGACAGTACAAACTATTGAGCATTGACCCAAGGGTATAATCCTTCAGGTCATATAACACCAAACACTCAGAACTACTGTAAATATGAATGAATTTTGTAACATCTCTTCTTGTTTTTGTTAGTTGAAGGCTTGAAATGTCTTATCTGATTCTATCACTTAAGCTAAAGCAGAAATTGTGCATATGATTCCTCTGTTTCTGACTTGATCTTAGTTTAGATGTTTTTCTCTCTAAGTTGAATGTAGTACCTACTATGCATGCTTATCGTGGTTTATTTTCAAACTTTCTTCAGAGTTGAGAACAAAGGATACAGGTCCCCACATCCATGCGAGCTTAAATGGGTCGACCAAAAAAACTTCTGCCAATGGGTAACATAATGTGCACAAGCCACTTATATTTCAAGTGCAGAAGTTTTTTTTTGTTGTTGTTGTTTTGGACTGACATGTTTGGCATTCGTCTGTTTCCTCTACTGCAGCCTTCGGGATCAATCAAATGCCAACTCGGGGGTAGAATCTTCGGGCAATGATAATCCCAGTTGCACCAACTCGAGCACCGGTGTGCCTCCCACCAATAACGAGGTTAATGATCCTAAAGCTGATGCCGCAGATGGTGATTCTGTGGAGAATGGCACACGATTGAATTCAGAAGAACCTGCGCAGGTAGACCCAAAACCAGCCTACGTTCGGCGAGGACGGAAAAGGGTGGTCCGAGGCACGAGAGGAAGAGCAAAGTAGAAGAGCATCTACTGCACCCACAATTGTTTGTATACCACTAATATTAACGGCCCAAATGGGTGGTATGATAATGATACCTAGGTTAACTAGAGTTAGCATTGATCGGTGGATTTTATCGTGCACCCACTCTTTGTACCCATGTTGTATTATTGTAGGCGTCATACTGACTACGTTTCACGATTTGGATGTGATTACTAGGACTGGTAGATGCCTCCTTTTTTCTTCTCAGTGTAAAACTTATGAGTAGTTTGTGCAGATGGAAGAACAAATGGTTTGTTTGTAGTATTGTTGTAGCAGTAAATGGCTAGCCATCTAGGTGACTAGAGATGTACTACTTCAGTATCATGCAGCGCTGGACGCTGAGGATTCTCGACATGTAACCAGTATTTCGTACTACGGATATTCTATTCATTGTGTGGTAAATGAACTGCGGCTACGGTTTGCATTTTGTAACGTTAATGTTTGTTGGTTCAAGGTCAGGCAGCACGACCATGGTTCACCTTTTCGAGCGAGCGCCGGATCCCAACCTTAGGCAGCATGACAGTTTTTGCTGAATTTTGATAAAAATCTTTGTGTCACATTTACTGTTTCGAATCTGAATTCTTGAAAACCATTTGAAAATTAACTTGAAATCTACTGTCGGTTATCATTGAAAACGTGAACCTGGGGCACGACCACCGCCATCACGGGCACTGTTTGCCCATACTAAATCATCTCCTTAGATGTGTCTAACCGCTGACGCGAGCCATGTTGATAGGAGAGAGGCCTCACCCGTCGCGTTCGTTTGCTATCTTGTTCTGTACATGGCCACTTGTATGGCTCAAAAGCTCCGCTACGTTTTGTGCCTAGCCATTCCCTCTTTAACTCCGTTCATGGCATTTTGCAATCCCCCATTGACATCTCGAAATGGAGCAGACAGTGGAAACGACGGCTCGTCGACGTACCGGGGCTCTAGCACAAAAGATATGCATGCATCGGATCCATCCCATTGCGTCGCGTCGTCACATCTCATCATCCATCTCTCTGGGCGCCGTACCAGAAATTGTAGCCTGGTGACTGAAGGAAGACAGGAGTGCTACTAGTAGTACTATCCAAAGAAGCTAGAAGACGAGAGCCCGACCCAACTTCACATCATGAACCAAATCAGGAGGCCTTATCCTGAAAGATTCTTGGTCCCCTTCCCCTGTTTGCAAACACATCGCGATCCCAGGGAGATGTCCTGGCTAGCTGCATGCACACTCTGCAATGCTCGTCCATTACCTTGTTCCATTGACACCTACTAATTGCCAACGCAATGTGCCTAACGAGACGGCACAGAAGTAGCTAGCACAAGGTTTTTTATATACTATACGTCTATACTCTAGTAATTTAAGTTTTAAGTTACACTGCGGTTGTTGGCCGGCTAGGCTTTTGCTAATTAAGCAGATCAGGGCTGGACGATCTCTATGGAGCCGTAGAACGTGAGCTCCTGGATCATCTCCTCGACGTACTCGTCGCCGTCGTCGACGCCCATCGCCGCCGCCGCCGCAGCAGCATCGTCGTTGTCCTGGCCAGCGACGGCGCCCTGTTGCGCCTGCGCTGATGACCCCGCGCCGCAGCATTTCTCCAGCCGCGCGCGCAGGGTCGGGGAGAGGCAGCTGCGGGCGTTGCCGCCGCTGCTGCTGAGAGGGAAGTTGGTGCGCGCCGCTGGGCCGCTCATCAGCCTCGCCGCCTCGTCGTACGCCCTCGCCGCGTCCTCCGCCGTCCCGTACGTCCCCAGCCATATCCTCGTCTTCCTGCACACACACACACACAAACGTCGTACAAACACACGGTACATGCATATGTACCAGTCAGAACACACATCGTCAGCGTAGTACACGTACATCTCCGTATGATGCATGTTAGTTCATGGCAGAAAAAGGGAGATTGAATGATGATCGTACAGGAGAGGGTGGCGGATCTCGGCGACCCAGGAGCCCCAGTGCCTCTGCCTGACACCTTTGTACTTCGTCATCCTTTGGCACACGCACGCACAATGCCGGCCTCGATCGATCGATCACTTTGCAGGTATCAGGTGCTGCACCTGCAGGTACGCTTTATATACTGTGCCAGAGGACGGGAGGGCTGCAAGAGATAGCAAGGTTTTGGACGGCTGGATGGGATGGATGCTGCCGCTATACTTCTCGGGATGATATACGCACCAACACCATGGCCACGTGAGACTCATCTCACGTACAAACAGTCAAACATCAACGAGGAGGATTACTTGGTTCTTGCAGATAGGAGAGTATTAAGGAGGTAGCACTCACCGCCTCACCGGACACCGGGGGATAATTGGGGTTGCCCCCACGCGCGCGCGCACGCAATCTATAGATAGATTTTGGTGCGTGCGCGCTTGAGAAATCGGGTAGTACGTGCTGCTGTTCGACGAGGCCGAACGGTCCGCGTGGGTGGGTGCAGAGGAACGTGTCGGCGGGGAATGGAGGCCACGTTGCGTCTGCAGCAGTTTAACCTGTGTGCGTAGGCAGCGTAGCTTCGCAAGGGCGATGGGATTGACCGTTTTGTTTCACTGTCGAACGGGGTAACGACCTGAAATTTGATTTGGGATCTGTTTAGAAAGTTCAAATGCTAAAATGTAGCTGATTAGTAGCTAATTTTCCCGGCTTCGGATTTTCAGTATATTTTCTACATTCTATAGCTATAGATTTTTAGAAACCAAGTAAGAACCTCAACTGTTTTGGGGAGTTAGAGGTTCTAGTGAAAATTGCAGCCGCTAGAAACTCTCCTAAATAGGATCTCGATGGTGCTACATGCCTCCTGTTTTAGTGAAGTGCATGTAAAGTGGCTCTTTTTTTTTACATAAATCATGATGTATAGCGCATATGTGTTTTTATAATCTAAGCATTGTACCCTATATTTTTTTAACCATTTGATCCAACAGAATTACTAAAAAAACATCGGCTAGTTTTTCCCTCTAAAACATTTGAATTTCTGACCGTCGGATTACCTCGAGATTTGTGCGGGTAAAGAATAAAAAACATTCGCTAGCACATGTGGGATCAAAGAGTCAAGCCTGTGACATGCTTCGTGAACACCGGTCCTTCTAGCCTAGGCCACACACGTGTTTTTACCTAGTAGTTATATGTTAGTTATCTATAATTACACTTCAATTATATTATAGTTATATTTGAAAAGGTTTCACCCAAATAATTGTCGAAAATGTTATATAGTTACTCCCTTAATCCAATATGGTCCTAGTACTTCCATCCCTTTATAAACCTTAAGGACTCCGCTCCCTCTCTGTCTCTTGCCCGCCCTCTCATACATAATCTATGTACCACTACCAACATTCATGGCCTAATTTTGCCGACACCCTCTCAAGAGTAAAGACCCACTGACTACCGTGCTTCCCTACCTGCTCCCCTCCTGCGATCGTCCATTGCGTTCCTCATTCAATTGGCTACCACCACTTGATTTGCCACTGTCGACTTTCTCTTTATTGGCAAACCTCTCTCATGTTGTTGTCTTCTCCCTTCCCAACAGCCACCACGGGCTTTCCCCTCCCTAGCAAACCTCATGCACCATTGTCATCCCTTTCTCCAATGCCTACCATTTGAGATCCACCACCACAATCTTCCACTTATGTGGCAAACACACCCCCCCCTTACCATTTTCACCACTCAAGTGGCCACAATATCTAGATCCACCACTGTGGGCATACTTCCCTTCTGTCACACACCTTGAGCACTATCGTCTTACCCCTTAGCCAATGCCTACCATTGCCAAATCCACCACCACCATCTTCCATTTCCCTTGGAAAACCTCCTAACTTTCATTTCCCCCCTCTTAAGTGCCTATCATGAACATATTGCCACAATCGGCTTTCCTCGGGAACCATCACATTCCTTTGCCAACACATCACTGTTATATTTGCCACGACCTTCTACATTTCTACTTTCTTAGCAAACAACCTTGTGCATTTTTGTCACGCCCAGAAATTCCCGAATAGAATTCCAAGCAGAATGTGCATTAAAATCCCCGTCCAGGACCGGCCGGGGTACACAAACGATAATGTTGACATTCAGATCCACGTCTTACAAACATCATAAAAGTCTTACATAAATGCAGCGGAAAAAGGAAGACAACAGGAGCTAAGCCTTGACTAGAACTGCAGCGGGAACACCACTCCACAGGCACCCTCGATGGCACGGATGAAGCCTACTCCTCGGAGAAACCTCCATCTGACACATACCCGAACTCTGGGGTTGGGAAAAAAAATAGAGCAAGACTGAGTACTACCCACTGTACTCAGCAAGTCATACCGGAATAGGGGTATGATGCAGGGAATTATCAAAGGAGAGCTAGAGTGGTTCATTTGCATAAAGCGAGCATTTATAAACAGAAGTTGAAAGATTTAAACCGTTGTAATAATTAATTATTATTAACTATCCACTGTCCAACGCTATCCCACGTTGCGACAGGCCCAACCATCCACCTAAACTATCCAAATTCAAAAGATTACACTAGGGTGAGACTAATCACGGTGAATCTGGTTGACCGCCCATAACCGCGGGCACAGCTACTCGAATAGTTTTACTCTGATCAGAGGTGTACAACTATACCCACAAGACACAGCCCCACGACACGTTTCCGTGCGCCGACATGCCACCACGACATACCGGAAAGAGGCCGTAACAGGACCCTTCGCATAACCCCTTCTAACTAAGCACACCACACCTCAGGTTTCACCCCCACTCCTCGCAAGGCAGCGGGCAGTCCCCTCTCGTGCATAGGTGAATCCGGAAGCCGCATAGGCCGTCGCAGGGCCCATCCAAACTCCATCACGCCCACCCTTGCCTGGATGCGTCGGCTAGAGGAAAGCTACACTACAAGCCCAGCCGTTGCCCACGCTGGCTTGTGGTAAGTACGATAAGTTCTTCCAGGGCATCCCGCGAACCGGTCCTTAACTGCCATGGGTGCGACCAGCAAAACCATGCACCCACAGCCCACCATGTGATTTATTTTAATTAACCAACACCAAAGCGGTGGCACTAATCCAACAGTACCATTAGAACCAACAGTCTAAACATTAATAGGATTCTCCCCATTGTGCACTAGTTGAACTAAGCATGGCTAAGCAATCCCTAGTCCAATCTCTAGTCATGTTATAACCCCAAGCTGACAAAGGGACATGGTACAACAATAGCATGGCTATGACAATAGGTAAACACCCCATAGTAACATTATAAA